CCAGGGTTGGTGATTTTTTGATTTAAAAAAAATAAAAATAAATAAAAATAAAAAATCAATGACTTTTTGGATTTTTTCATGATTTTTTTATTTTTTCATGATTTTTTTTATTTTTTTCAGCTTTTTTGTCTTTTTGAAAGGTTATTTTTTATGTTGCTATTAGCCTACTAACAATAACAGTATATGGATCATAATGGATGGCTAAAAAAGCCACTTTTTGCCTTCAATAATGGCCAACAGGCCAAGACGTGGTGTTTACCACTTAGGGATTTTTGGGTAAACAATTATGGAAGAGTCTATTCATTAGCTTTCTAAAGTTTGTATGGAACAAGGTAACGAGCTAAATATTGACCATTTAACTGGCTTCAACATGCAAAAAACTTCAGGAATGCAGATCTCCCAAACATTGAAGAGTCAGTCACACAACAGATAGGTAGCTGATAGCACAGTGCACAGCACTATCAATAGATCCACGAGTTGAATGTCCTAAAAATCTACCAGACTCTACCCTCTAAACACAACGACTACTAGGCGACTAGTAGTGACTGAGTGACTGACTGCACTGTTCCCATTTAATTCAGACCAATAAACCAATACTAAACACAAACTGAGCGATAACCAAAAAACCTCGAACGACTTGAAACGAGACTTAAGTTATGAGAAAAGCTAACACTGTTTGAAATAAACATGTGTTCAATTCAAACATTCACTGCATTTAATTATTTTATATATAGTTTTATAATTGTAATTGTCTTGTTTCTAGTTTTAAATTCACATATTTAAGATTGAAATTATATATTTTAATTAAAATACTCGTATTAGGGTGGAAAATCTTTCGAATTGCCTAAAAGTTCAATAAAATCTCAACCTCTCAATATACAGGGTGGGGCAGAACCGATTGAGCAGTTTTGAGGCAAAATAAAAGAGAAATGGAGGTACATAAAGAAGAAAGTTTATTTTCCTGGAGGTTGGCATAACATACCATTTAGAATACTTATGTTTTGAAAACAATATCTGGAAGATGGGGGCCGTTAGCTGCAACACACTGTTGGAGTCGTTCTCAGAGGAGGGAGTAACCGTGACAGTGAATTCCGATCGCTATGCTGCAATGTTGCATAATTTCTTGCAGCCCAGGATGGAAAACATTGTTGAAAATGAAGCATTGAGTGATGTGTGGTTCCAGCAGGATGGGGCTACAGCTCACACAGCCCGAATGTCAATCAATGTTTTGAAACGCATGTTTCCCGGAGGTCTGGTGTCTCCGAGGGGTGATTTTCAGTGGCCTGCGAGGTCACCTGATTTGAGCATTTGCGATTTCTTTCTTTGGGGACATCTAAAATAAAGGGTGTTCAGAAGTTGCCCTCACACCCTACCACAGCTAAGGAAACGGATTATTGTAGCAGAGGTTATGGCCATACCTCGCCATATGTGTGAACGTGCTATAGGAGAGCTGTGGTGGTGCAGTGGTGAGAGACTCTGTCTCTCCCACCCAGCGCACGGGTTCGAGCCCCACTGAGGACAAGTTCTACCGGGAAGCTCAGCTCATGGTAAACCCAGCCATTCATCCAAGTCTGGTTGATAAATGAGTACCTGGCCTGTCCAGGGTGTTGTGTAATGCAATAAAATGGTTCTGGTGGGTCAGCGAGCCAGTGATGGTCGTAGAACTACCAGTGGCACCGAGTGCCCGGAAAAACTGACCTATCACCCCTCCTCCCTAGTCGCCACTATTACAACAACAACAACAACAACAACGTGCTATAGGAAACTTCCGAGAACGACTCCAACAGTGTGCAGCTAACAAACACCATCTTCCTGATATTGTTTTCAAAACATAAGTATTTTAAATGGGATGTTATGCTAATCTCGAGGAAAATAAACTTTCTTCTTTATGTCCCTCCATTACTATTTACTTCGCCTCAAAACTGCTCAATCGGTTCTGCCCCAGTCCCACTCTGTATAAGCTAACTAACACATTTAAATTGTATATTGTAATCAATATATAACAAATATATAAAGACTACTTATAACCTTATAAGAATTAGCTAAGTTGCTAGCTATGTACAATGTATTGCAACACTTGATGCCTCTGTACCAAAAACATTCAATTTATTGGAACCTAATACACACTAAAGGCAATAAGTTTATATACCAATTTGTCATTCATAGTACATTTATACTAAACCGTGAATAGCAATATCTCAAAATAAATTGAAGACTGCCACTCAATATATTTAAATATATAAAAAAATAATAAAAAAATAAAAAAATCGGAAAAATCATGATTTTTTACAAAAAAAAGTCAAATTATTTAATCACATGATTTAATCATTTTGATGTAATCATTGCCAACCCTGCTGCGTTCAGTCTTGTTAGTCAATATACTCTTAAATTAATGTCTACGTTCAGTCTTGTTCGTCAGTATACTTTCAAATTAATGTCTACGTTCAGTCTTGTTCGTCAGTATATTTTTAAATTAATGTCTACATTCAGTCTTGTTCGTCAATATACTCGTATATTAACTACCCGATTGCGTGCGAAGACTGTGAAGCTCCCAACCAAACCATGGCCATTATCACTCCGGAAATTGCTTGTTATGCCCCTCGTTTGGGGGTAAAAGACATCACCAAAATGACCACACTTCCAATCCCGTACGGTATTTGAAATCTTGCAATCATGTTATGGTGCCGTCACAACATCAAGTTAACGAGTGTTGCTCAATAGAGTTTTGTGATCGGGTTATTCGTTTTTCGAGCAACGGAAGAGTAAGAGGAGAAAATAATTCCATGGTATTTCTGGAAATAAAAATTCTGGAATTTTTTATTTATATTTCTGGAAATAAAAATTCTGGAAAGTAATTCTGTTGTATTTCACACTCCTCATACTGCATGGGCTGGGGCGGGAAGTGGTTGGAGATAGAGGAGGAAACATGAAATATCGGTAGAATTGTTATTAATTTTCTATTTTCAACAAAAAACTTAATTTGTAAAGTAATAGTATCATTAAATAAAGGGCATAAAAAATTTGACGCTTGTGGATGTGAAAAATGGCCCTCAAGAGCAGGTTATGTCTATGAATTTAATGAAACACACATCCTTGCTTGATCATGCGTGCCGAATTAATTAAATAGCATTCTAGTAAGATATTTTGGAATTTATTAATTATTTAGTGATGTTACAGCACAGTCTGCATGAGATCTACAATATTTATTTGCGATTAATATATTAATTTATTATATTTCTCGAATTGTCTTTCAAGTCAGGGTAGTTTATAGGCATCAACATATCGGGCACAGTAACATACTGGTAATTCATTCATCTTATTTCTTCTACGAATAACCTTTTTGTTGACTCATCATCGTGGAATTTGTTGAATCGTTTCAAACCGTGATCGTTTTTCTCGGTAACTTCGCCGTAATGTTCTTCGTGGGTAATTCATTCATCTTATTTCTTCTACGAATAACCTTTTTGTTGACTCATCATCGTGGAATTTGTTGAACCGTTTCAAACCGTGATCGTTTTTCTCGGTAACCTCGCCGTAATGTTCTTCGTGAGGCACAGGGGCGTGCATACAGCAAGCGCTGTCATCTCTGCCGCCCGCCTCACGCAATCTGTTCCGGGAAGCGCTGTTCTGCATGGGCTGCATTTGCTTATTTCCATTATTAAAACTATTCTTATTATTGTTTTTATGTCTATAATTATTATGATTGTTTTGTTATTATTGCCATTTCTATTAATATTATTTTATAGTTTTTGTTTTAATTTTATTATTATTTTGCGAAGGGATTCTCGTGATGTCTGGTACAACAGAAGTTTAATGACACGTTAAATACTGAGAGTAATAAGAAAGGCTTCAAAGTGAACCCAAAAACATGGGAAAAATGGAAATGGTTTCATTATGCTGAGAGAAAGGGGGCGTCTCAGCCGGGAGTATTGCGGAATCTGGGTATTATTTATTCTATAATATACCGACCTGATTCGTCTAATTGATAAAATTATATAGCCAAACTAAAAGCGAATCGTGTGACCTTTACGGATAAAAATGTTTTAGGCATTGAATTCGTTAATTAGATTTTATTCATTTTTAAATATTTGAAAAATTTTAACTTCTGTCTCAATAGAACTTGCTTCTTACAGATAATGCATTTCAGTTGTGGTAATATAAGGCCGTTTCAGTCAGAATTTTTTCTCCTAAGGCCTAAGCTAAACCTTCTCATTCACCAACATATTGTACAGAAGATCAAGTTCAACCTTTCTTTCTGGTTTCTTTTGTTCATTCACTTCATTTGAAAGTCATATCGTTTTCCACTCGCAGTTCATTTACATCAAATAGATAAACATTACCCCGTTATGTTCTATTCACAGTATGCAAATCGTCTCGGTTTACTGCAGAATAAATTCATTATTTACCAAGTCTTCAAGTCATCATGTTCAGTTGGCCTCGCTAGGACTGTTTATTTAGCCCAAGGCGTCTTATTTGCTTGGCTTGGCAAGACTCGAGGGAACTGAAACTCTGACGATATCAGCCACCAGCTCCCCTCTGAATATCTGGCTCGTCAGGGAAATAACGTTGAAATAATTTTTAATATGTAGAGATATATATTATAGATTCATAGTAACAAAATCGAATCAACGTTGATTCAGCCGCAGATGCGGCCTGTTGTTGACTAATTTCTTACCACATTTCGACTCCTCGCATTTTTTGTAGACTGATGATGTTCAACCCCGATGTACAACTACAGGATTTAACCTAATGCTCAGAGACTTGACTAGCTAAACCTGACGATCTAATACAGAATTGCATGCGGGGCTCCAAACATGATTGAACCCAATGCCCTGATACATGATTGTTTGGGTCCCCGATGATTGGATTTGGACCCGAGTAAATTAGAGTTCTAAGAATTGTGTTCCTATGATTACATGATATTTCTAACTGTACATTTTTTATCTTTCATTTCAGTATCAAAATTTTATTAGTTTTTAAGAATTACCATTTAATGAAAATTCATGAAATCATTTGGATTTTTATTAGGCATGAATTGCTTTATTGTTTCCGACGACGGATACAATTCAAGTAATAATTTAGCTGCTGCTTGCTAGCAGGAAATAAGTGAAGAGAAATAAAGAATAATGTGAAGTGAGGGAAAAGAGAGGCGAGTGATAATAAGATTATCCCTTTAGTCTCGTGTGAAATATGTAAGTGTGATATTTCAAAGTCGTACTACTTCAAGTTACAGATTACAGTTGTGTTCTACATGAAAGGTGAAAATAACGAGAAAAAATAGTTTCCAATGAATGAATGGAATTGACAAGCCGTCGTGAAATTCATTTAGTGCATATCAACAAAAAATAAATTCGAAGCTTCAACTAGATTTGATTTAGAAAAAACTAAAACTTTAATTTGAATACCAAACAATCTATTTGATCACTCACAAGCTCCAATTGTTTGCTGTAATCACTGCTGAGTGGATCCATGCAACTGTCCGCAGAAATGTCGTCTGCTGATTATATCTCACCTCCTGGAATTGAGAAATGCCAGCACTGCTGGAAATTAGCGACCGTTACGTTATCTCTGACGCTGAAGCCACTCTGCCAAATTGCTAGTACAACAATTCCTGCTATTCAATGTTATGTTTTTAACCTGTTGAACTTTCTTCAGTCAGCGACGTCGATCGCCTAACAACTTGTTGATTACACGCAAGGACTTTTCATCTCTAATAATGAAAATGGATTGAAAATCCGGCGTAACCTGCGCTCATCGATTTATCTTACACTCAGCCCAAGTGGTCATCGCTCATTTTTGCTCCCCCGAATATAATTTGAATTTTCAATCTAATTGTAATTATTCTGAGTGAGATTGATCATATCACGATAATTTGCAACATTCTTCAACACCAAATAATTTTTCTGAAACTTCTCCTTTTTTACCTTCGTATAGGCCTTTTCTTTCTTATTTTTCTCAGATTTTTCTTGCTGTTTCGATGCTTAAAAGTGGCTCTTATTTGAAGTGCTTATTCACACACTTAGACACAGCCACTGATGATGAGTGGCCTCCCACTCTCCCGGATACCCTCGCAGATTTTTATAAGCTCTCTTGACCCTCAACTGCCAAGCGATGCCTCCGTCTTAAGACTAGTCGCACTCATTCACTAATAACTTCGCCATGGAGTAATCATTTGCTATTTATGGCAGGTCTTCTTGCCATTTAAAAAAAATTATGTTTAGTTGTTAGAGAGAGATTCATTCATCGGAGTATTAACTATTTAGTGGATAGACCATCCATTATACAGTTGATAGACCGTCTCATCACTGTCTGTTCATTTACCCCTCTATACTCTTCTCAAATGTCCTCGTCAAGAGTTTCCCTCAAGTGAGTTCGCTTCTTGTCCCTCACTATAGTACCCCTTACTTCAGCACTTCACGTCTTCCCTTCACTACTACCACTCACTCTTGCCCCTCATTAGTGGTCTTCGGCTACTGCCCTTCATTTCTTCCCCTCACTACTACCACTCACTCTTGCCCCTGATTAGTGGCCTTAGGCTACTGCCTTTCATTTCTTCCCTTCACTACTACCACTCACTAGTGCTCCTCATTTGTGGTCTTAGGCTACTGCCCTTCATTTCTTCCCCTTACTACTACCACTCCACTCACTAGTGCTCCTCACAAGACCCCTCACAGCAGCCCCTCACGAAGGCCGCCATGCCGCTGTTCAAGGACTGCGTTTGTCGGCGCAAGAAGCCACGCAAACTGCAGGTGAGCGCGCCGCTGCACCTCCCGCACAAGGTAATAACGCTTCGCTTCTTGCTAACTTATTACCTAGTCTTAGATCCTCAGTCATCCTAACTTGGATCATAACCTCTATTATTTTCATATTGGAGACGAATGCATTTAATTGTTGGTGCTTTCATCGTTGCTTGTTTTTTATAATCCTTGTATTGATTTGAATGCTGAATAGGTTCTATAATTCTATTGCCGTAGATCTTAAAGTTTGCTGCATCGTCAGCCGAAGGTAAGATGCTGGATCTACATAACACCGTCATCAGCAATTACATTTTTGATTTTTATTGGTCGTCCGGATATTAATGGCAGATATAAATTTTTATGACATGTATATTTACTTATTGTTCACGTTAATTGGTAATATATTTCTCTGTTTTAACTTATGTTGTTTCTTCAGTTAATCACTATAGGGCAGTGTTATTTGGGTTGTAATTTGCTGGGTCACAAACTTCTTCTCGTTAAAAAGATTTATTTAATGAAATTTCCAACTCGCGCGCCATCAATTCATCTGTCCTCCTAGTCATTTATATTAATTTAGCTTTCGAAGTTTATTTTTGGAAGTCATCCTAATGATTACTCGATGAACGATCTGTCTTTCGAATTTTCATACTGAAGCTTGTGTTAAAAGCGCTTGCCGAGGGACTAGCGCATTTACTACTGCGTGGCATTAAACAAAAATTACGACACATGTTTTAGTAAACTTCATTTGTTGAAGGTATTGATTCTTCCACAATATTCGTTTTTCTTAATTTCAATGTCAGCGCAATTTGACAGTTTGAGCTCTACGATTAACTCGTCATTTGAGTCTTTTGCCATTGTAATGGAATTAACTTTCTGCTATTCAATTGTTTAAAAACTAAAATAGGTTCCAGAATTTGATGATTTTGATGCCACTTATGGCGTATTTTTGACAAACTCAGGGCGACAAGCTCTTTTTCTCCCACTAGAAGAGAATTTATTCTCTGAATTAAAATCATTTATTATCTATATAGCATTTCAATAGAAAATAAATAATATGAATTTAAAAATTACTTTTTATAGACAACACTTTCAAAGAGGCCAGTACGTGTTTCCGATGTTACAAATGTACAATGAATTTCTAATTTCATTCTTGAATATTGAAAAAATTCATTTTTTTAGTAAATAAAAAAATTTAAACATTTTAAAAATTATTTATTCTCTCAATTGGTTCATGCATTGTCTCTGACTTTACGCAAGTGGGCAAAATTTCAGATCGATTGGACAGGTAGATACGGTGTGGGGAAATAAATATTCGTGCACTTGAAAAATCGTATTTTAATGTATGTAAGTACACAAACTTAACAGGAAAAGTGATTTAAATTATGTATAGAGACGCATAGTATTCAAAAATACTATCAAAAGAAATTAAATCTCAATGCAACAAAAAACAATGTAGCATCCTGGAAAATAATTTGACGACTTCTGTTGAGAAACTAGAGCTACCTGGTGATTGGATTTTCCAGCAGGATAACGATCCTAAGCATACTGCAAGATCCACAAAGAAATGGTTCGCTAATAGAAATGTATACGTTATGGAATGGCCAAGCCAGTCGCCGGACTTAAGTCCGATTGAAAATTTGTGGCGGTATTTGAAGATTCAAATTAAGAAAAGGTCCCCAATAAACATTGAGAATCTTTAGGTGGTGTGCCAAGAAGAATGGTATAAAATACCAGTCAGCATCTGTAAATCATTGGTCGAGACGTATAGAAATAGACTGGTATCTGTTGAGCTGAATAAAGGGTATTCAACCAAGTATTAAATTAAAATAATGCGGATTTATTGTTTTGTACAAATACTTTTTTCACCCGAAAAGTGAACATGTTGCATTGTTTTTTGTTGCATTGAGATTTAATTTCTTTTTCTTTTGATAGTATTTTTGAATACTATGCGTCTCTATACATAATTTAAATCACTTTTCCTGTTAAGTTTGTGTACTTACATACATTAAAATACGATTTTTCAAGTGTGCGGATATTTATTTCCCCCCACTGTAGATATCCGTTTGATATCTATCTAGGTTTGATAGATATCGATTACAAGATTTGTAGCAGACAAACAAACAAACAAGAAGTGAAGTTAAAGACGTGTTGTAAAATAAAGCACGCCGAGTTAGTAAACTATGCAATGGGAATTATCAACCTACGGCATAAATGCTTTGATTCCCATTTATGCATTTACCATTCCAAGAGAACTACTCCAAAAAGATGATTACATCCTCCCCGATTGTCCTTTTCTCAACTGCACTTTCCTACACCTGTTCCTCTGGCATTTGTAAGTTTTTTTCTAATCTTGCCTACCACGTGTGGATGTTTTGCTGCCAATGTTTCTATAAATTCTAACAATCGCAGTTCTAAATTCGCATTTGCCAACAACGTATAACTTACAGACACTTAACGAAGTATTCATAGTTCCTTGCTTCTCAACCGTACAAACATTTGAATTTTTTCCCCGTGCGGAGAATTTTAATTTTCCCGGAACTGCCAAGATCAGTTGCCGGGCACACGCTACTCGAGTCGCTAAATCCGTGACCGCAGAGTCAGTCATGTTTGATCAGTGGTGTCGGCTGACTGAATGTGAGTGCCTTGCATGACCGACTTGTTTGTCGAACTCCAGCTTCCATCTCAGGAACAAATCTCTGGCAAACATTGCTCCGGAAACAGAAGAGTCTGGCGTCTCAAACCCGAGTCAGAAAGCTCGCCCGTTCCTTGAAATATATTGCCGTTTCCGCTGTTTTGGGCCCGTAGACCGAAAATTTGTGCGGGCATGAGGTCCAACTTTTTCAGGTCTTTTTTCATTGCATTTTATGTGTAGAAATAGTTTATGGGCCGAAATAAAGCGAAGAAATTCTAACAGTGCAATATATTTTGGTTTTTATACTACCAATTAATATTGATAGTAGATTTATGAGATATTTCTGGAATTGCACAGAAGTAACATTTTCTGCATGTAGAGAGCGATTCACGGAACGTCGTTATTTGAAAGCTCATTAAAGACTGAACTAGTAAAAATGTATTTACAATTACAATATAAACTTTATTGAAAAATGCCTAAAATTTTGCGTTATTTAAATTTAAAGATGACATTGGACAAATACGACACCAATTGTCAGTCCATTCACTTAGTCGATTTTTGAAGTTTCGTTAAACTCTCTGAAGCATATTAAGGGGTATGTTGGCGATGGCTTGCAGGGCGTATGTTTTCTTCAAATGAGATGGGGTCTTTGGACAGTCATTGTAAAAATTGATACAAGATAACCCTATAAAAATAACACGGAGCCAAATTGGAGGATCGGGCCGACCAAAGAAGGTCACCTCTCAAGGAGATGAGGCGCATTCCGAGAATGGAACGCTCGTTGAGTACTGATAATGGAACGATGATTGAAAAATATAACTCGGTAGAAACTGCAGTGAGTGACAGAGAGCGCATTTTCTCGTCGACGAAAACTTGAGGTCACGGACGGACGGACAGATGGACGGACAGACAGACAGACAGACGGACATGGCGAGAACAATAGTGAATTTTTTCCATAAATGAGAAAATGCGCTAAAAAGTACGCCTCTACAGCAAACGCACGCTGCTCACTTGTCCGATGTATATAGTGGCAATTGACTAGGCGGGACACAAATCTTCATGATCTTTCCTTTCACATGATATACTTCCCGCCCTTTTTCCACAACATCTGACTGCTTGGCATAAAATACAAAACAGGAAGTTTCCGTGAATCACCCTGTAAAAAAGATTAACATACTTTTAGCCTAAAAATCTCAAAAACCTCCCAAATTTTCCTTCATATTCGAAATTTTGCTTTGTTCCATCACGAACTGTATTGAATGGCAGTATAAATTTCCGATTCTTTGTAATGTTATAAACAAATATTTTAATGTTTCGGTTTACCACCTTTTAAGTCAGCTAAATATTTCGTACATTATGCTTGTTCAAAAACTTAGAACTTGTGTATAATTTTGTCTTGTGTGGTAATGCAAAGCATAACTTTTATTGACCATCGTTGGTCCTCAATCATCAAATGTGTCATTGTTCGAAAAGAAATGAAGGATGGAAGATCTACAAAGGACCTCCAGTTATGGAGGATCTTTCTAACTCATTTAAACTTTGACAATTTCCAACAATTGCGTCTGATAACGGGCTTCATCTTATGGGGTCGGCGACGTCAGGCAAGCATATAGTTTTGTGTTAATTGAGGGGACTTGCTAAATTTCACTGACATTCTGCGTAGAAACTTAACGATGGGCTCAAGACAGACTTCAGTCTTAAACATATAGTTAGGAACTTGGTTCCATGCATTCAGTCAAGATAAAAATAAAGCGGTAAACATCCTAATTCCACCTTACTCTATAGCCTGCATCGATGGGGAGCTCAAAAATTTCTCGTTTTTTGGAAAGGCACGAAGTGGTTATCCTGATTTCTACCTAAAGCATTGCGACACTTTAATAGAATAAATACTCATATTAACTGTGCACTCCGCATTGGCCGTCTGTATAAGGAAGTGATTGTGCGTAACAACGATCACGAGCCATATGCTGAGAGGAAACATCGTGCACTGGTCGTACATCATTAAAAATATCGAAAAGTTGTTCTAAAAAGGATAAAACTGCATGAGGAGAAACAATATGAATATCTTAAACAATACATTTGAGATACAATACGAACGAGCTGCTTCTATCTGAAGGATTCTATGAATAACTTGTGTGGGAGTGAATCAAAAGTCCTACAGTACGGAGAGAGGCCTCGGTATCTTTTCAGACCAAAAGGAAGCCGAACTAAATGCGTTCCGAACAAAATTCTTTGGACTTCGGTCTCCTCCAGATGCGTGGGTTGCCTGAGCTCTTCCGAATAATAAAGCCAACCGACTATTTTCTTCATGCTAAACTAAAGATAAATCTGATGTTTCAGTAAAGGTTGTATTGGAAAATGTTTCTAATTAGAGGTGAAG